TTTTTTTTCCGTGAAAAGCACCTGTCTAAAAAAATGTTGATAACAGGATTAGTCAACTGGCGTGAAGTACATGCATAATTCTATCTTAAATTCATGGTTGCAAAGAGGAAAAAGTTGGCTTTCTAATTTCTGTTAAGGATCTTCTGTCTATGAGTTACAAATTGCAAGTTTGTCCACCACTAGATTCAAGGGTTATGGTTTGGTTCAGAAATATTTTTTATACAATATTTTTTGTTCTATGAACATGAATACTAACTCGCTCAATTAAAATTCCCGTTCTTCTTGAAAAGATTGCAATTTGATTAGGAAAAACTTTTGAATTCTAGCTCACGATGATTCGGAACAAGAAGCCGGCTGGATAGAAGGGGTGGCTATCCTTGTCGCTGTAATTGTCGTCGTTCTCGTTACTGCTCTCAACGATTGGTCCAAGGAGAAACAATTTAGAGGTTAGTGGCTTGTATTCGCGATATTAAAACAGGCAGTACTTCGTTCTTTCAGGTCTCCAATCGAAAATTGAAACCGAGCACAAGTTCTCGGTAATTAGAGGTGGACAGCCTATAGACGTAGTTGTCAACGATTTGGTGGTTGGCGATGTCGCTAGAGTTAAATACGGTGGGTGAAAATGCACCTCCATCCTGATTCCAAATCAGACAACTATTTTCCCTTTACTTCCTACATCTTTTGTTACTCTGCGGGATATTGATTCTTTGAGATTTCGTCAAAACTGCTAAATGTTAAAGCTAGCTTTTTACCATAACTCAGAGGTGAAAGAGTTATTTCCGCCGAGTTGAAAAGAGCATGTTTTCAAAAATATATACTCTTACACATTTTCTATTTTAGGAGATCTTTTGCCTGCTGATGGTATCCTCATTCAATCAAATGATTTGAAAATTGACGAATCCTCTTTGACGGGAGAATCTGATCTGATTCGCAAAAGTTTTGACCATGATCCAGTGCTCTTGTCCGGAACACATGCGATGGAAGGAAGTGGACGGTGAGATTTTGCTTTTACTTTGTCACTTTACCTCCTAAAGCAGAAAAAATAATTTCATTTCTGAGTGGATGAAAAATGGAAAGTTTTGTATCAGAAGCAATTTATGGCTGGAAAAATAGAAGTATCAAAAGTTTTCTTGGAGTCTACATCTAAAA